TATTTATCTTTTATAAGTATTTTTGATAAAATTAAGTTGACAAATATGATTTTCTATATTGTTAATGGACATAGTGATTACATAACTCCGGAATAAATAAATTATCATTCAATAATTGAATGGTAAATCACGATTAAGTCATTATAGCACTTCAGAGTCACACCATTAGATTTAAGATGTTCCTAATGATATTATGAATATGATATGAAATGTAAAAATTGCAAACCTGACCTCTTTCATTTTTCGAATGCACGTCTCAAAACCTCCAAACTTATTTTAAAGTTTGGTATTTAATATAAAATACGTTTGTTATATAACTAATACATATATAAATAACATTATAGTTGGAATGTTTAAAAAAACTTGTATTTATATGAAAAGAATATGGTTTTTAAATGAAAAAAAATGTAATTAAAGAATTTAAAATGTATTAGAAAAAAATATTTATATGATTTCAAATGGAAAATTATCAACATTTAACAAAATTAGAAAAAATGATGTTCGATTTGGAATATAAAATAGAGTGTCAAAATTATAAAATAAAATTAAAAAAAAAAAAAAAAAAAAAAAAAAAAAAAAAAACAAAACAAAACAAAACAAAAACCAAACTTAGTGTCAAAATCGAAAGAAGTAAAAACTTGGTGTCTATTGTAGGAAAAAAAATTAATTTTCACACGTCAGCATGTCTTGTCATCAAAACTAACACGTCATCATGTCACATCAAGAGGTAACCAGGTTGACTGGTGAAGTAATCAAATTTGTAACATACTAGAAAACACTGTGTCAAATTTGAGACAAAAAAATAATGTCAAATTAGAATTTCTATGTAAACTTAATGTCTTTTGTGTTATTTTCCCTAATATAAAAAATCCATAACATAGGTCCTCATTAATGGTAGTTTTTATGAATTATTCATATTTTATCAAACACTGGATAATATGGATAACTTTTTTTTTGCTAGTATTAATTGACCACTTAATATTTTCAATAATATATATATATATATATATATATATATATATATATATATATATATATATATATATATATATATATATATATATATATATATATATATATATATTACACATTAGCTCTAACCCATCATTTTATAACAATATCATTTTGTTACTTTTAATTATATTTTATATTTAATATTTTGTTATTTATTGACTATGTAATCTAATATACTATATACAAAAAGTAAATTCAATAGTATATATATATATATATATATATATATATATATATATATATATATATATATATATATATATATATATAAAGCGTTTTTAAGTCAATTAAAGGGGCATATCAAATAATTTTAAAACAAAAATTAAATGAAAGTATTTTGTAAAACATATAAATATGTAATACAATCATTAAATTAATCACCTAGATGTGTATTAAATTACAATAAGCATAATCATCCAAATATAGATTCTTTCAAAAATCATTTTGTAATAAAAAATATGAAAGTTGAACACAATGATGCAGAAAAAAAAATTATATCATTAAAATAATAGTTACGGTAGTGATAAAAAAACAATTATAACATCCATAGTATTCTTATACCCTTTTATTCAATAATTGTAAGGAAAATCTTTGGAAAAATCCTAATATTTCACCAAAATTTACGAAAATGTCCCAAAGTAAAATTGGTTTATGAAAAAATCCTGATTACCGGAAAAAATGATGATTTGACCATTTTTTCCAGTTTATTGGTTTCAATACTTACTCGGTTTCATTAAAGTCTCACTATATTACGGTAATTTTCATTAAAGTTCCATTATTTTACAATAATTTTGGAATTATTCGTAAATTATGGTAAAATAATAAAACTTTATTAAAACAAAGTAAGTAATGAAACCGGTAATCTGGGAAAATAGGGCCAAATCGTTATTTTTACCGGTAATTGAGACTTTTTCGTAAACAAATTTTAGTTTATGACTTTTTCGTAAATTATGATAAAATATTTGGATTTTTCTGAAGATTTCTCTAATTATAAGATATATTTTTAACCATATTGATGTAAGGAAAATTTGTTAAATGCATTTAAGCTTCTTTTTTTTTTTAATATTCCAAAATTTAACTTCCAATTAAAGGCTATTTATAATTAAGCCACTAGAAATAAAATGGTTTTTTCAGTATTTAATTGATACTTTTAAGACTTAAAAAATTAAAGGCTATTTATAATTAAAACACTACAACTAAAGTGGTTTTAGTACTTGATACCTTTAAGAGTTAAATAAATAGGATTAAAATATTTAAATTGTGTTTAATAAATTAAATGAGTAATATAATCATCTAATTGTTGGATTAAGTGTCTAAGACAATAACTAAATTGATATATACTTGAACTATTGACAAAGTCCTTTGAATTGCCCTCAAACCAGGTAATTGTATAGGATGACTTTTGGTGAGAGAGACTGATATATTGATTTATTATATAATTAATAAATAGCAATAAATGATTTGTTAATATATTATGAGATTAATATATTAATTAAAAATAATATATTTTAATTAAGAAGTAATCAGAAACTAATTAGAATTAATTTTGGGATTACGTGGATTAATTAAAAGTGCAAGGACCTAAGTTGTAATTGTTCAATAGTTGAACAAAAGGCATTCCAGAACGTTCCATAAGAGATGGACGGTTGAGGGAATTATAAGGTTCTAGAATATCCGTTGGAGATAATTAGGAAACCAGATAATTACATGCTTTAAGATATTATTATTTTAATTAAGTAAGGGTTATCTAGGGTTTTCTTATCAGTTATAAATAGGATCTATTGTCTTTATAATTTTGATCAATCATTCCTTTAGAAGGATGGCGGAAAATACCTTCTCATTTCCTCTCTCTTCAAGTCTCCGTGGTTGATAGAGTTTAGGGTGTGAACCATCAGAGGCATGAGATTTTTGGTACTCGCTTCCAAGAGTATTTAAAGTAGGATGGGTTTGATTGTTTACTACAATAATAAAAAAAGGTATGTAATCATAACTTGTTTATTAATTTCGAAAATAACTAGGGCTTGTAGGGTTCTTATTGTAGTGTTACTTCAATAGTTTTATGACTAGATATAATAGGTTGCATGTGTATAAGGATTTATCTGTGTTATTGCATGTAAACCCTTTAGTGGTATCAGAGCGTATGGTTGTCTAACAATTGATAGTAGATAACTTGAACTTGAACAAACCCGACCTGGAGAATTAGCATAATCGACATTCTGTCACGGTATCACGTCGTGGCCCTCTTCTGCTACAACGTTGGGATCTTTAGATTCGTGTTTTTCATTATCTGCTACGACGTGGCGAACCCCTATTCAGCGAAATTTGTTTTTCTTAATTCCAAATTGATTATGATAATTACTCTAGTTAATATAATTTTAATTGTTTAAAACATGAATATTCGACTTGGTAAATTTGATATCCTATATCTTGTGTTTGTGAATTATCTTTATGATTTATTTAATTAGTTGTTAACTAAAAGATAATTAAATGAAACCCTAAATGTTAGGAGAAATTCTTAGACTAGATAATGATTGATTATAAGATTAATTAATATTTTCCTTATGGATCTTATTATTAATTTAATTAAATGATTAATTAAAAGATAATTAATAAATCCATAAATTGGTTTATATTCAATTACATTAAAATGTTTAATTTATAAAAGGATTAAACCTTGTATTTTGAAATGTTTTAAAATACACCTTATATATACTATTAAAAGCTTAATATATTATATGTACAAGAAATGTCAATCAAATCACTAGTACGCCTCATTCACCAAACCATGCTATAAAGATTGTATAAGGAAACGTCCACTACTAGAAAAACAGCCTTTTACGACGCGCAAACTACGACACTCACTGATTTATGTTACGCAAAAGAGAGTGACAGTAAAAGAGTGTCATCTCTTCAAAAAATTTAAGGATTTAGGTGACGCATTATTGCGTGCCCTTAAAATTAGTGTCAGAACAAAAAAAATAAAAACACGGAGGGCACTCAGCATAAAAGGTGTGTCGTCTATGCATGTCGCTTTATAAAATTTTCATCAAACGCGCCTTCTCCATCTTTAATAGCTAAGGGGGGAAATCAAACCCCAAAAAATTAAAACCCCCGCCTTATTCTCATCTTCTACCAGCTAAAAACCCCTTCTCTTTTCCATGACCTAATTAATGAAACTCTGGAAATTCCATGGCCGCTTTAATACCTATAGATATGCTTTGAATCAGATCTAACCATATCTTTACCCAAAATTCTTCATATGTGGTCCGTCTTCATCTTTTTATCTTCACATATGGCCCATCTTCACGTAATAAATAAAGATACTAGGGCTTGAACCGGACCTCACATAATTCATAGCTCACAGCAACTTCCCACACTTACAAGAGATCGTAAAAAGGGTATGTTCAAACCCTTCCTGCATATCGTTCCTTCCTAATTATCGATCAACAGTCACAACCTCCAAAGTTCGTACCTTCCTTTTCCCTTTAATCAATCAGATGTCTTTTTCCCTCTTCAAACGTCGATCGACAAACCAGGTCACCTAAAATCACTGGTCATCTATTTCCTTTCTCGAAATCGATCGAACCTCCAAGAACTACAAGAACTACAGGTATTGATTTTTCCTTTTCTGCTTCGATTACACCCTCTTCTTCATTCTTGTTATTTCTTTTTTTTTTCGAATTGAATGTGAGGTTGTGAGGTGGCGCTTCATGTTCGTAAATGGATGTTGAGGATATGATGTTTGGTGATTGTTCTGTGATGGAGAGGAATTCTATTTTTACGTAGATTTTGGTTGTGCACACCAACTGTTTGATGAATTGCCACCTTGATTCATTTATGTTATCTTCCTGGTTAGTGCCTCTTCTCAAAGCTTATTATTGCTTATCCTAAACAAACATCTTCCAGTTTTACAACTATCTTTTATATCTTTATGCAGTTGATCCGGTCCTGATTTCGTTTATGGTTTCATCTCCAATGAATGATAAATGCTTGGTGTTGTTCAAGGCTGGAAGTGCCCACCACAAATGGTTGACTTCATCTCAAGTTTAGGGTGGGGTGCAAACAACGAATCTTTTGGTAAAGTTGATTTCACAAGCTCCAAATATACTATACTTTCTTATATGCTTCCGATCATGGTTAAACTTATGGATGCAAGTTTTTTTTTCATATTACATATTTATGGAGGATATATTGGATAGCCATGTAAGCTCAATTCTATCATAGGTAAATTAAACGGAAGATATATTGGCATGTTTTATAACATTAGGATATAACAACATCATTTGGTATTTTCATAAGAATTGACTAGTAATAATTCTTTTCTTTTTCACTTCTCATTTTAATTAAATGTATTTATCTTGTTCAACCTCGATACCAGGAGATGGTATTGTATTGATTGTAGTTTAATTTCAAGTTTTGTTTCTTTCAGAGTCTCCATTGGTTTTTTCAGACTCTCTTGCTGAGTTCTTTGCGGAGAATAAGAACATTGCTGGGTTTCACAACGAAAGTTGTATTGTGTAATCTAGTATATGTTTTGTTTGTTTTGTTATGAATGATTCAGCATAACTTTACATGATGTGATCTATTACCACATAATATAAAACATCAAATGTAATTAGTTGGCCTTATGGTTGTTATGTATTTAACATTTTATAATTATATGTTGTATTTGAGTTTCAGCCTGGAAAATCGCTTTACAATACCGTGAGAGAACTTGTTGAAAATGCACTTGATTCTGCAGAATCCATTGGGGAGCTTCCATTGGTCGAAATAACAATGTAAGTGTTAATAATAGTATAGGGTTATTTTTTTTGTGTTTTACCTGGATTTGTGAAGTTATATTCAATTTTTTGGGATTTGGACATATTTACCCTTTTGACTAGTTTTTGTCCCAGTTTTGTGGTCTGGAATATTTGGGATGTTTTGTGTTGGATTTTTCTATGGATCTTTGGTTCCAATTCTGTTTTTCTTTCTTGAGTTGGACTAGTTGTTTTGGTATAGAGGGTATAGTTATATTTTTTTGGACAATTATATGCTTTTCGGGGGTTGTTTCTTAGCAACAATGCAAGTTATTTTCTGTTTATTTTTTAGTTTAGTGGAATTTTGTTTTTGGGATCTATCTTTTGGAACAAACAGGGATTTCCCAAAAATGTAATCTTGAATCTTTAGGATTCACATTGGAGCCTACTTTACCTGAGCCTTCTTCTCCATCTCCATCTTCATCTCCTATACAGAAAGAAACCCCATTGTTGATTGGAGAAGAATGAAGTAGAACATGTGAATGCAATAAGTGAAGAAGAAGAAGGAAAACAAGTGGCAGATTCAATTAAAATATATCAACTTTCACAAAGAAGAACCAGGAGACCTTTTTCAGTGTCTGAAGTACAAGCGCTTGTGGAAGCTGTTGAGACCCTGCTTGGAGCTGGAACGTCTATGTTTTTTTTTTACATTAAAAAAAATTAAAAATTTATTTATTATTATTATTATTATCAATTCTAATATTTTTTTGTAAAAAATTTGCAGATGGCGTGATGTTAAAATGCGTGCTTTTGATGATGTAAACCATCAAACTTACGTGGACTTGAAGGTAAGAAATATAATTTTAGTACGATAAATTAAAATATACTAAGTTGGATAAAAGAATAATATAATAAGCATGATAAGCCAAAACTGAGCAAGATACATTAGCGTTATTTTATAATTGATGAAGGGCATCATATAAAAAATGCTTCTTGCAAGTTAAATGCTGAGTTGAAGCATTATAATAGCTCTCACAGATTGCTTTTGACTGGAACTCCTTTGCAAGCCATACAAGGATATATATATATATATATATATATATATATATATATATATATATATATATATATATATATATATATATATATGCTGAGTAGAAGCATTATAATAGCTCTCACTTCATCTTGTTTGACTGTTTGTTTACAAAGAAAGTCAAGATAGAAAGATGCCGGTATATATGGATATTCCTTTCAAATAATCTTCCAGGCAAGTGGTTTTTTTAAATAGCTTTAATTTGTGTTATTCCATTAACACCCTTCCTCTCCTTCTCTCTTAAAGAATATAAGTTTAAAATCAAAAGAAACTACAACAAAGTATAATCTTCAATGGCAGAGAACACTTATTTAATGATTTATACTATGAAATACATATCACAACAGGAGTTTTGCAATAGAAATTGTTCAGAGTTGTCAAACAACCCTAGGGTTCTAGCATGCATCTAACAACTGGGCGAGACAGGACACTTTATGTCTACCTTCACCTCCTCAAATCTCTTTATTCATCATTTGTATTTTGTTTTAGGGCTTCTTTGTTCTCTTCATTTTTTTTTGTTTTTTCGAAAGTAATCTGATTTTAATTAATACGAAACCCTCCATTGATGCTTGAAGAAGCTACTATGTAAGTTCTATCGCCTTACTGCACTCCAAGTGTTTGTTATAATATTATAATGGATTTTTTTCCAAGCAGTTATCTATGTAAATTTCCCTAATTCTTCTTATAACTATTTTCATAAACAGGAGTTATTATAGAATAATATAAATGAAATAAACATAACATTTTCTCTCAGTCTACTTGTTTCTTTGAATTAGGGCAAATTGATTTGTTTATTTTCCACGTTTATCTTCTTTCATATTCTCTAATTTATAGGTTAATCATTGAATTTGATTATTTTCTTCTTGTGCGATTAAGCTTCTATTATGTATAGATTTTTAAAAGTTTCTCTGAATTTTTTGTTGGTACCTGGTGGTATCGGATCCAAGAATGGAGCTACTTTATTCTTAAAGTAAGTCATTCTCTCTCAGTCTACCGTAGCCCTACATGCATTTTTCTTTACTTTTAAACTAAGTCAATTTTGTCTGGTCATTGCATCTTCTTTACAATATGAGAAAAGTTTGGTCGTTACTCTTAAACACAGGAGCTACTTTATGCAGACCCTTTTGATGTGGAGGCACAAAAGAAAATGAGAAATAACAACATTGAAGCTATCATGGATCGAAGGTTGGGCATTTATTGCATTTGATTCTTCATTTCCACAAAGTGTTTGTTTTTAGGGCTATAACACAACTTCATAACTCATGATCAATCCGTATGCAGATGGTGTTTGAGCTAGCTTCTTTCTTTTGTTCCTGGGTAATTTCTTCGACTTAATCCCCTAACATATTTTCATCTGATAGGTTGGCATAATATATATTTATACATCAATTATGCACTTTTGTTATTTCTTTTGGTTCTTGAAACGAGACTCAAGATATCATATTTTGGCATGGCTAGAAGCTTTGGAGGAAACGAGACTCAAGCAAAAGAAAACACACAGAGAGTTGTTGGCACATAGTAAGCTAGATGATGCAATTGTATATAAATGAGTTCATTTTTTTATAACATTTACTCACTTTTGGAATAATTATATGTATTTGACATATTAGTGAAATGAATTATCTTTTTTATTTATGGTATTTTATTTTGTATTGTGGGATTTTTAATGTATTATTAATTCGAAAATTAGTAAATCTAAAAATAATAATTTTTTTTAATCATTTAAAATTATGATACGCAAAAATGTGTGACGTCTTCATTTATGACATGGCCTTTCTTGATAGGGGCTTTCTTGATACGCATTGTGTGTCATTAACACGCGCGTCATAATGTTACGACACGCCAATGCGTGTCGTCTTCCTTTATGACAGGGCCTTCCTTGATACGCATTGCGTGTCGTAAATATGCGTCATAATTGCGCGTCTTAAATGAGCGTCATAAATGCGCGTCGTCTATAGACGACGCGCAAAAGCGCGTCGTCTCTCTTTATGACAGGGCCTTCCTTGACACGCATTTGCACGTCGTCTGAGCCTTTTACGACGCGCAATGAGCGTCGTAAAAGGCTGTTTTTCTAGTAGTGGCCTATAAAATTGCTATTGAATGGGTGTCCACTCTCACCCACCGCTCTCCTGTATAGTGGAGGGTCGTTAGCCGAACGGATTTGATATGACATAATCTCATTAATTAGTATAACGACATAAAGGAACTAAACCATTTTTAAATCCCACTCTTAGTTACTTTATGAAAATTTGAAAAGTATGTTAATCCATGAAAACGCACATCATGCTTTATATGTCATCAGTAGAGTGTGTATGGTTAACCGGCACACTAATAAGGACTATAAGGGGTATTATGAGCATCTTGTAAATTATCATTGTTGATGGAGTCTGTGTGGTTAACCGGTACATCAATGTGAGATGATAAATGACATCGAGGTTGCCAAGCAGATTTATATGGTTATTCATATCTTGTTTGTGATCCTTAGCATCGTAGTCATAAAAGTGAGATCATAATTCATGATTAAACATGTCATTGATAAAAATCAATGAATCTCAAAAGATATAGGAGTTCCATAAGATTGAAATTGGTAAAATCCTTACCTACCTAAAATATATTCGAATTTTATTACGTCATCTTTCTTCAAAGTTCAAATAGAAAATATTGATTCTAGCCTTAATTTAAAATCTATGGGATAATAATTAAGGATCAAAATCAGCTAACTTGAACTCTCTACATTCCCACTTTTAGATGTCTTATGAAGATAAAAATGTTTTTTCTTATTCTCATGGAAATTGTATTTCCTTATCTTTAGGGGATGGTCTTCCAATTTCAAGTTATTGTAAAATTGTTTTTTTTTTCCTTCCTTAGGAAATGATGGAAGTGAATCTCGTATCTCTTTAACTCTTCCACCTCCTCGTGTGACTCTCCTGACATCACATTTTTCATAAATTGAAAGATATGATACAACTCGATCCCTATTGGTATGTGAACATTAAGATGGAAACTTTATGTGTACGCATGTTCTAAAAAGAAATAACACATTGACAAGTTGGATAGATTGGCTGTCGTTTTCCTAAAGGAGCAGGCCATTAACTTGGTTCTTCTCCCGCTTACAAAGACATATAATCAGTTCATTGAGAACTTTTATATGAGGAATATCGATATAACCCTAAATGATCTAACCAAAATGTTGATAGTTGTTGAAGCAGAAATGATTAAGAGCACATCTAAAGCAGAAATGCTTGTTAGGTCTAATTCTTAGGATTCCATGGACATTGACAATGGAGAAAATGGTGGTCCAGAAAAGATTTCTCTTCCCAATGGGATGTGGTTGTCAAAGATCAAATGGTTTTAACGTATGGTAAATAGAAATTGCTATTTATGTGATCGTTTCATGTGTTGACCGCAAAGAGTCCATTTGTTTTACTACCAATTGAAATGAAATTGGAAACAAAGCTGCCCAAAATACCAAAAAGATCTTGAGCTAGTCAAGTCAAGTCGTGTGACTCTACTTCAGGTGCATCCATTATCTGAATCCACTGTTTTATAGGTTCTTCTTTGTAAACTCTTGATACATGATAAGCAAAGAGAAAGAAGGGATATTGAGCATGGTGAGCTAAATTTGATCATTAGAAATGGACATTGGCCACATGGTTCAATGATCAGAATTCGAAGCTACTACTAAGGATTTGGATAATTTAATAAAATGCTATTAATCTTTAGAGATGTCTAAAACATAGTTTTCATTTTATGCGTTGTAAGGACAAGTTCCAATTTTTCGTTTATTTTCAATTAAAGTGAATTTTTTGTTTATCTGGTTGCCTTATTTTATATATTTCATGCAATGACATTTATGAAAGTGTTGGTTACATTTTTAATATTAGCAATATTAATTTTGGATTCGATTCTTAAGATATTGCTTGTGATATCGTCACAATTGACCAAGTGAAAAGAAATATCATCACCAACTGAACAGATACTTGGTGTTGTACAATTCGTATTGTATATTGTATGGGAATCTTGTTCATTGCAAAATTATGAATCATTCGTTGATCACATGTCTATGCGAGTCAAGTGAAGGACCAATGTATCTAGTACATATTGATATGGATTATTCAGATCCACCCCAAAGGATGATAAATCCATTCGTCATGATTTACTAATGCTTTAGTAAATATGGTTGTGTTTATAAGATTAAGCATAATTATAATATTTTAAAAATATTCAAAGAGTAGAAGAAGGAAGAAAAGAATTTATTAGGTAGAAAGATAAAAAGTTTTTCTAATCTAAAAGGAAAGGAGAATACCTTAGTATCATGTTTTATGATCATCTTAGTGATTGCAGATTTATATCACAGTTGATCCTCAAAGAATATCTTAGTACAACTACATGACTAAGAATAGGAATCAGGTATTGTTGGAAATAATTCGATCAAAAGATGAGTCATACTTCATTCCTAATCAAGTTTTAGAGCCATTCTCTAGTAATTGTGATTCATATCTTGAAACTCTCTTCAAACTAAGAAGGTTTAAAACACCTCAAAGTATGTGGAGTTAAATGTTTTCTTACTCTAGCACATATAGAAATGTATTTGTGATGTTTTTCGTTAAACGAGAAACAAAGGATTAACGAAGACCTATTATGTGAAGTGTTTTCTTGTCGGGAATCCACATAAACTTTTAGATATCTATTTTAGCTCGTCAAGGAATGTTTCTTGAGGTAAAACTCATATGTTAAGAAGCCAGTAGGAGTTGTATTGATCTTGAGAATTTCAAGAGTCAATCTACAATGAACCTTTTAGTTATCACTAGCACGCGACTTAAGGTTGATAATTTGTCGTGTTTGGTTTATATATTCTTATTTATGTGCACTTCTAGTGGAGTTGGAAACTCTTATGAGTTCTATGTTTTTTGATTTAACTACAAAATCAAAGGCATGTTGGTCAATGAAAGTACATTGATCAATATAGGTGAGCTGCTAACAACATGGAAGCATTGGATGGTCCTTATGCTACCAGAGGGCAAGAAATTTAGAATAAGCGAAGTTCATTCCATGAAAGGAAAGCTAAATTTGAATTTGGTTTTGTCCTAAACCTTGTATTATGATTGTAGGTTGTAAATGATAGATTTACATGGATGGGAACATATGCACCATAAAATCTAGGTGGCAAAGTTTTCGCTCTAATTCATCAAAATGATTATGAGGGGTCACTTTCACTAGTATATTTTAAAGGATTTGATAAGATCAGTATAGATATTGCTTGTATTAATTGCATTCTCAAATTCACAATATGATTATGACATCCCTCTTCATATTTTGAATTGTGAGAAATGGAAAGAAATTTTTTGAACCTTCAAATACTTATATCTATAAGTTATGAATGAGTTTAAATACACACACATATGATATCCAATTAAGGTGTATAAGATTGAGAATACTATTTGGAGACTGATCGAAACATTGCATAACATAAATATGTACTTCAGTAAGAAAATCAAGAGTATTGATTTCTAGAAGTTCAGTTGTATTTTGGGTATATGTCAAAGTTAGTGAGAGCATAATTATTATTCCAGTGTTACATGATGAAAATATTGTTCGTAGGGAAAAAAGGTTCTCAATTTGAAAACATCAAAGGTTGGGAATTGTTTCGTTATGATAGACTTAAGGGAGAGGGCACTCATACTTCGTTTCAAATATAAAGGATTAGATTGTATAGTTTAATAGAACTTTCTCATAGACATATGTAAATATCATGTTGAAATGGTTCAACATAGAAAATTCCATATATGAAAATATTATAGCAAGAGATTGAATAGATATTGGATTTAATGAATCGAGTCGTATATGCTTCAGATATTGGATTGATTACATATGATGCAATATTGATTTATTCTAATTTGTCCAAATGCCTTAAGCATTGAGAGGAAAAGGATTAAAGTTTTTGTGTGACTAGAGTTGTTTTTGAGGCTAGTGAAGATTGGTTGCTTATGAACAGTTAGAAGTATGGTATTAATTTGGATGGACCATAGTGACATGATTCTGGATTGAGATGATTCTTGACCAGAATTGATGGTCATATGGGAATATGAAAATGTTTCCATAATGCGGGATGATTATTAAATCTACATGTGAGTTGGAAAATTTTAATGCAAGAGAATTGTTCAAGGAGTGTACCTTGAATTTGAACATTTATTTATGATGGAATTGTTTCTAGAAACAAAGTTCTAATGGAACATTGTGTAATATCGTTGGCTTAGTCTCTGTGACTTTGAAGCCTCGACGTCACAGAAGGTCAATGCATGTAAGGTTAGAATTTCAATACATTTGTTACAGTGACAAGAATTTGGGATTGTGAAATAAGCATCATTCGAATTGTGTCCAGTCAATTCATTCACGAAGGACCACAAAGAGACATAGTATGCATGTTCATAACATGGCATGACTGGTGTTATTTAATTCAAGTGGTTA